CAAAGTGTGCATTCCAACCAAGTCGTGTCGACTTGAAATTGAATTCGGCATTCAGTGCCACATTCACCGCCTCTTCAAATGAGGACTGATGCACACGGAAGACTTTCATTCTGGCCACACCAGCGCGGAGGCCTTCCATAAAGACGGTCACTGTGACCGTCTCCTGAAGGGGATCTGCTGTCATCCCGGCAATGAGAGTGCGCATCTCTTGGACAAAGTCCACCAATTCCTTGTTGCCCTGTCGTGCGGCAAGGAAACGGGACCGCACGCGATACGCCTGATTAGGCGGCGAGAACACTTGGGAGAGCTGCAATTTCAGCTCCGCCCAGGAGGGAAACGCAGCTCCGACCGAAGTGCCGCACGTCAGTGTCCATTTTCGCGCTTGACCACCGATCTTGGAGTATGGCTAGCGCCGCGTGCTGTTGCTCGGTTTGGAGCATGGCGGATGCAATGGCCATCTCGACCTCTCTCACCCAGAGCACAAACATCCTTCCCCTCAACGCTCACCATAAGCGGCTTCGGTCGGAGGGAAGTCTTCCGTCACCGACGGTGGCGTCATAGACGCAAACGATGCAGACATCTTCTGCTGCAGGTGCTCTAGCAGCGCGTTTTCCTCAAAAAGGCCTCTATACGCGCACCGATTGCCTCGGAGCCTTGTGCTACAAGGTGTTGCCCTGCTCAGGGCCAAGCAAGGACATCAGCTTGTTAAGCCCGTCCTGCATGCCCTGGGGCAAATAGGAAAATTCCTCCATCCTCACAGAGGATCAGTCGAAACGACTCAGGTGTATATTGACTACGAGTGCTACCAAGTGCAGCTTAGCTGCCGTAGCTAAGCCCTTGAGGAAGCGTACTTTAGGACACCGACCTTTTGTTCTTTACAGGAACCAAGTATGAGTCAGCGGATCGCGATCCGCTAATTCCAAGTGTAATTATTGCCTTCCCAAGGTTAATTGACTTCTCGGTTCAAATTTATTTTTATTTTTTTTATCCTAATTTTAAAAGCTCAGATTTTCCTAAAGGTCCTAAATATAAAATAAAATCTACATACATGCATCACTACTGGCTTATCATATTCTTGTTTGGATGTGGTCACACCATGCACATTTCGTGTGACACACACCCCGTTACCAGGGTACGTGTAACCCCGTTACAGAAGACGTCAAATCACTCTCAAATCAAGTCGAAATGAGCTGATTCTTCTCGAATATAAGTAAGTGTGCACTGTTAGACCTTCAGTCGGCATTTGCTTTCATACCAAATCGTAACTTCGCTTCATATTACTTTTTGACCTTCCACCAAACGGCATCACTGGAGTGGAATTTCGACAATTGGTGAATTGAATCCGAAAAGCCGATCATTATTGTTCTGAACAGTGAACACAGGCAGTAAAAAGCACCAGTAGACTCGTCTTGATTTCCAAGGATGGTCCTTTGCTCAACCAAGAGTCACATATTTACCTTAAAGCTGCTTGCTATATAGTTACTACCTTCTCAATCCATTTATAATTCCAGCCTAAAATACAGATGTATAAATATTTTCAGCTTCGATTGTTTTGTTTTCGCTCATTCGACATGTCAGACTACAGCTTCGAGCACCATCTACATCAACTTCAAACTCTTTTTGGTAATGACAAGACTCAACTAGACAAACTTTATCAATCTTTTAAACATGCTGATCGTAAGGGACAAGGAACGTTAAAAACTATTGCGTAAGTCTATAACTTTTTTCTCGGCACCATATCACCAACACCTTAATGGATAGGAAAGTCGAATGGGTGCTACGCCAACATTTATCGCGTTCTGAGATGAATAAAATGTAATCGATTGTCTTAGCTTCTAAAAGCAGCGATGTGCTAACAACTTTGTTTAACAGTGACGTTCAAACACTTATCACTCGTTTTGTTACGAAAGACAATGCGTTTGACTATAAAACCTTCTGTAAAGTTCTTCGACAGTCTCAAAAAGAGTCAATTGGGTCTAAAATTCGTCCAACAAATCGAGAATCTTGTCGATCATCCGAGCGAAGAGTCTTACCATCAAAATTTTTTGAATCACAACGTCTACTTAGGGAAAGTGTACGGAGTAAATTGGTTTACGGTTTACAAGGTGCTACTTCGAAAAATGGTATTCAAGAAATTCTTGACATATTGCATCGAATCGATTGTAAAAGTGATGGGTTCATCCCTGAAAAATTGTTTCGAGAAAAAATTCTTAAACGGTTGAAAATCCCATTGACACGACCAGAGCGCGACTTTATCATAGAACAATTACGAGTTGATAGTTGTGATGCAAAGTATCTTGACTACGAGCAGGTATGAAGTGAAATATAGTTGACAAAAGGAGAGTCTGATGCTAGTTTATGGTCATTTCAGCTAGTCAGCGTATGTGATATCGATTTCAACAATTCTGAGTCTGAATTGACAATAGATTCAAACGATAATTTTCTTCTAAAAAGCTTTGAACGAGGTCCCAAGTTTCTCGCAGCTGAAAAACAACTTCGAGAGTTTCTGCAGTCTCCATTGTCGTTGAATTCGTCAAGTATTAAAGATTTTCCCTCTCATTTGTTTACTGGAGCCGATTTATTTCTCAAACTTGCCGAATCAATTGATCAAGACAAGTCAGGCTTGCTACACGAAGATGGTGAGTTGAAAAGGTTATGATTTTACATGTCATGGATACAATTACACTGTTATCTTTCTAGAATTTTTACGTCTCTTGTCCAAGTGTGGAGTCAGCATCAATCGATCTCTTTGTAAGGAACTACTTTCAATCTTCCCACGATCTTCAGGAAAAATGATCAAGTATTCAGACTTTCTTCAGTAAGTATAGAAATGTATTACACTGGCATTAATTTATCTTACCATGTACTTTTGACAATATCAGACAGTATCAGAACGATCGACAGATAGAGCAAGAAATCACAAAGTTATTCTCACGTCTTGCTACAAGGTTTGATGTACCTGCTTCGAACTTGATCCAATTGTTCTCTCAACAATTTGAAAAATACGATTGTCATTTACACCAGAATATATTACCACGTCAAGGTACACCATAACCTTTTGGATACTCAAGTTACGCAACATTAACAAAATACCTTTCAGACTTGAAACATTCTCTTCAGAGTGTATTAAAGCTCACAATCGAAGAAACTGCTCAATTATCTCGTCACTCACGCACTTCAATCGAATCAAATTCTATCGAAATGTCCAAGTTGTCAGTATGTGACTATCTCATGTTACACGCTGTACCCCAAGAGCGGTATAACTTTGAGAAACTTATGGAAGTATTGCAAGTTTACCATAACTCTACTGATGTGGACCACAAATCTCCGTATTGTTATTCCATTAGGTCAAAAGCTGCAAGTTTCTGTGCAATTTGCCATTACAGAATGATAGTCATTTTGGCCTCAGTATTTATCGCCTACCCCCTATAATATTGGCAAGTTTTTAATTCACCCCTTCTTTTATACTTAGTCACATTATGAGATCCGTTTTCTACGTCCTCACTCAAAAGTTTCGGTAGAGACCACAACTTGCATCATAATTTTATTTTACTTTATAATTTGTTGCCATGGGAAACAAGAGCAAGAGCAAGTGCCAGATTCGTCTCGAAGCCCGTTCACGTGCCAATTGTGCATTAGCTGGACGTACTATGGATCCAGAACTTCTTGCCGCTGAGTTGCAATCTCGAATTGCGCGTGCAAATGAGATTCGTGCCATTCACACACGACAACTTGCAACTCGAGCACGTGCTCGCGTGCAACATGCACAAGATGTGGCACGTGGAATGCGTGTTAAGCGACATGAAGAGATAAGAAATTTTCGTCAATCATCAGTATTGAAATTAGATGAAGCAACACGACGACGCAACATGCAACTGCTGCAATTACAACTTCAATGCAAACAACGTACTGATTTAATTCAGGAAAAAGTTGAATTGGTACGATTGGATCAAAGCAACAAAGCAGCTAAAGCACGTCGAGCTTTAATGGGACAATTGAACGACGCAGCTCGACGTCGTCATCAGCAGACGCAACAACTCGTTCGTCGGTTAAATGAGCGATGGCAAAGTGTCGAAAGTGTAAAAGATCGAGTGGCACGTGTGAAATTTATTCAACGGTGGTATCGACGCCAAGTGGTAAATTGGAAATCGGCATTAGCTTTGCAACACGTGCAACATGATGTGAAACAAGTGGTTCAATGTTGGACACAGATGAAAGTTGCAAGTTTTGACGAGTGTATGAAATTGGTGCAACAACGTCCAGTGGTAAAAGCGGCACAACGATTGGTTCATGTACTTACTGGTAATGGCCACATGCAAATATCACATGGTACAAAGAATAAAATCATGAGTGTTCGTGTTTTGATGATGGCTGGCATGATTTCTTGCCATCCAAATGCTATTATGGAAAAGGAAAATCTCTCAAAGAGATTGCACTATGCTGGTAATGTGATTGTTATGGATATGGAACATTTAGCACTTTGTTTAGCTGCAATGCAAAATGTGCAACGGACACATGACTTGACCAAGTGTGTGGCACGTTTATCGGCTCGATTTGCTTTTTATACTGAAACATTTGCACGTTGGAAAACACGAGATGCGCAACGATTAGCAAGTGAGTTGCTTGTTTCATATCGTGAAGTGGTACTAGTATGCCACAAATATGAGTTGCAAGCACAAGTGGCACATGATGGAGGTGATGGTGTACATGAGTTGCTACGACAAACGCAACGACAATTGGTACAGATGCAACAAGCATTGGAACGATTACTTGGATTACAAACTGCAAAAGAAAAGATTGCAGAATTAATGCAACAAGTAAACGCAACTGGTACAAAGGATACGCAAATAGTATCTGAAAAGGAAAACATTACAATGCAAATGGGTACTTTGGATGAAAAAAATGAGAACGTGAAAATGCACGAATCTAACGTGCAACAAGAGAATGGTACAAGTGTAAATGCGACACTTTTAACCGATGTCATTTTGGTACATGAACTGATTCTGAATCCACAGTATCAGATTGTGCGTGATCAAGATTTAGAAAATGCAACAATTTCTATAGCGTCATCTCAGTCGGTGGCAGCAGTTGCAATTCGAATTCGTAATGCAATGACAAAAGCATTTTGGGATCAAATTGTCCAATCAAATGATGTTCGGACACTTATTGCTCGTACAGATGAAGTGCGTACAGCTTTTCGAAATGCATTAGCAGGTGGTACGGGCATTTCTTTACGTGGTGAATTGTTAACATTAGCAAATGAAGTTGATTGTGCATTTAATTCAACCGAATTTTATGATTTGATGCAAGATCCAGATAGAAATATGAAGATCTTACAAAGTCGATGCAATTCTGTACTTGATTGTATTGAATGTGCTGAAGCTCCTGCTCGTATTGTGAGTACACGAGAATTCCGTAATGAATGGACTCAAAAGATTGCAGCAAATGCTTTGACTCCAATTGAATTGTTGGTGACATTTCTAATGTTTGTTATGGATAAAATGGATGAATTACGAATTGATGTATTGAATGCACATTTTAAACTTTTAGCCACGTATTTACAACAACATGGTGTAGCATATGAAGAGAAAAGAGTACAAGCTCGTCTTGGTGAGTTTGGAAGTATTGATGCAGGATATCCAAAGACTATTAAATGGTTAACGATAGAAATGGAAGCATATGTTGTACGATCAATAATTGATGAGATGGAACTTGTACGACTGGCTCAGTACAATGGTACAGCTTTTAAGCGATTTGTACGTACAAGTATTTGGGCATTAGTAGAAAAACATATCGATGGGACAGAATCTCGAGTCTGGCCAGAAACGTTTGAACTTGATGTATCTCGTATACGCACTTGTCGTGATACATTGGATCGAATTACTGTCGTTTTAAGTCTTGTAGCACTTGTTCAAGAATATGCTGTACGACGTCATTTGATTGTACCCACGATATTCTTTCAAACTCTTAGTCATCAATTGAATAAAATATTACAATCACCTGGTATCTCGAAGACACAACTTGCAGCTCAAGCAAGTCATGAGATTTGGCAGTTTGAAACTCGAAAAGATGATGAGATTGAAAGGAAGAAACTAAATGAACGACTTGTTGGAGCATTTGCTGCGGATAATCCTGTGTTTCATCTTTTCTTTTCACGTGTAGCACGAACTTTTGAAACTGCAGTGAGATCAGAAAGTGATGAGGATGTAAAAGACTTTCATCCTTCATTAACTTTATTTGCTGATGAAATGATTCAAGCTATTTCAACACTACGAAGACTTGTGAAGCATAATGAACGTGTATATGCTGCACTGTATAACAGCATTATTAAACGCTTGGTGTAGATGATGCTTATACTTAGGCTTATGTTTCTGCTTGGTTTTTTACATATAATAATGGAAAATTGGTGTGTTAGTATTGTGACTTTCTTAAAATGATTTTCTGATGCTGAAGTAGCTTTGATTGGTTACGATAATTATGTGGACCACAAGTTGTACTTTTAGAGTTGTGTATTGCATTATTTGAAAATTCAATATAACTTTTGCGTTTTGTACACAACATTGGTAATTAAAAAAAAGATTTTAAAACATATTCAAACTCTTAAAAGAATTTTAGGATAGAGATCGTATTCAAAAAAGTAGATAGAATTTGTATGAACATCATACTTTTGACCATGACGTGTCTTAGGCACTTGTCAGAGTATCTTGTTTGAACTGCGATACAACTTGTCGCAGTTAAGAAAAAGTTTGTTAACTCGTAAGACGTGCACCTTGAACAGCTCCAGCCCCGACAGTAGCATCTGTACTAATATTGTACAATAATTGCGATAGCCAACGGCTAGTAGTAGCATCTTCCTTCAATGCTTCGTCAAACATGTGATTATGCAAAGCATCAGGCAAACACTGCCGAAGTGCATCCTTAGCACTACATTCAATTTGATAAAAGAATCTTAACTTTTCAAGTCATAAAACAAACGTACCGAGGATTGTCCGAAAGACGCAAGTAGCAGCGAATGATGTGCTTGAGCAAACGTGGTGCTGGTGCTTCAACTAGCGTCGTAACCATCTTGCTTAGTACCGTTCCCACAGCATAAAAACGTTCGGGTGTATGGCAAATATACGTTAACCCCATATCATCCAGTAATATCTTTTGTAAAATAAAAGTAGCTACTGTCTTGCTCAATTCACTTCCAGCTTCCATAATCCGCAGACATAATGGAATAATTTCTGTCTGTAATAGAAAATTGATTACATCTGAATCATCAATCTTTGACCAGAATCCCTTTTTGTTAGTCGAATTATTCTAAAGCACAATATAATAGAATGATCGCACCTTCACTAAGGCACCAATAACTCCAAGACTTGTCAAACGTAAGTACTCAAATGGTCGATTCTTGCTCACTGTATTAAGAAATGGGTACAAGTACAATGGAATATGCGCTAGAAATTCATACAATTCGTTATTTCTTGCCTAACCATGTTAATTTGCAATTTCTTACCATTTAAAAAATGCGTACGTGTGTCGGAATGTGATGCTACACACTGTAAAAGTGCTAAAGCATTGCATACTCGATTTGACGCGTGAGCTGTGAGTTGGGGAGGTGATAAAAGTGGATAAATGGCCACAATTTCTTGTAACAGTGCCGCCACAGTACCAAAAGAATGCCATAGAATCGGTGCAAGCTCTGGAAAGTCTTCTCGTTTTTTACTGAGCTCCAAGAGCGCACTCTCACGCTGTTCCGGTGAAGACAATTCAAGCACAAGCGAATACAATTGCTCAGGAGCGTCCATGTCGTGTGCTTTAATATTTGCGTTACATTCAAGTCACACAGTAAGACCTTATGCATATTATACTTCTGTATAATTATACGAGTGACCTATTTAACTCAATACTAAATGCATTGCCTCACTGTGTTCAATTATGTATCAATGTATTACATGACTGGAGACAGCCGAATCTCTCCATTATGCAGTCCTAATGTTCTCTTCATGCAATTCTTAAAGATCTTTGAGTTTGTACGATTGCACAAAAAGTGAACGTAGAACCCTAGACGTACCTACTAATACGGCATGCATCTCATTCCAGCGTAGTTAAAACAAAGGCTTCCACTTGTGATCAT